CTGCCTCTCCCACGCATCATTCAGATTCCCACATGGGATCCATCTATTCTCCGTCCCACTGCGATCCGACATGCTCCTTAGTGCCTGAAATGATGCATTAGTACCGCACCGAATGCCCTGAGGCTGGAAAACTAAGTCCATTCCTTCCTGGTCATCCTTCATGACACCACTTGAGACATGGACAGGAGCACCCTGAAAGCAACAGATTAAAACTGGAAGTATAAATTTTTGTTGTTGTCTTCTGTACGGGGAACCTGCAAATTGCAACCTGGTTTGATTCAGAAATCTTGTTTTTTCCTGTTGAGTAGAAAAACCCAGAGATGATGACAGACACGCAAACATCCTACCAGCTGGGAGGAAAACTGGTCTCATGTCTTTGGAAACTTTGAAGTCTGTAAATGTTTCACCTGAGGACAAGAAGATGGTCTCAGCCCTCTCTCTGAAAACTGTTTTTTCAGTTCAGCTTCTTTGGCCCTGCTTTAGCTCAGGTTAATTTTGAAACAGTTGATTGACAATTGATGACTTTGAAACATTTCAGTTGAAAAGATTGCAGCGACACGTACGAAAACGTAAACTGGTTTGATGCTCCTGACACTCCCTGCGAGATGCTCGTGGAGCAGAAAGCTCACTGTGAGGCTGAGCACAGGGCCCGTTTGGTTGCAAGAGGTAATTTAGGGATCAATTATTTTCTCTTCCCATAAGACTTTCAAGCCTCCCCCCTCCAAAACACAGCACAGCCCCCAGCCTCTGCAAGTGGAACCAGGATGAAACCCAGCAGCCAAGTGTGAATTTAATCTGATGCTAAGGAAGAGATTCCGCATGTGCTGAACGGGCGGATCTGTCCTCTGGCCAATATTTTGGCAAATGAAATGAAAATGATGAATGATGATATGAGACAGCTGAACCTGATGAAAAGGCAGTTAATTTCAGTGAATTTTGGTGATGAGAGTGGTTGGTGGCTGTGTTCATCGTAACATTAGAATATGGATTATTGTTGGAGAGATGTTTAAATGTAACAAAAGGTTTCTTTGAGC